AAAGCAGCAGAGGCAGACATTGCACGAGGTTTGCGCCATTATTATGAGACCGAAGAACATGATCATCAACTACTTCCCTAATTTAATCCCCATGCTGATCACCTAATAATTGCTCTGGCTGGGAAGAATTGATGACCTGCGTTGCAAATTGAACGCTGTCCACCCGAAAGCCACAAATCAGTTTAGTATCATTTACTGTGGTCGATCATGTGAAGATGTGCTCGCGGCTGCTCGTGGCATCCTTTAAGGTTGCGACTGCCGCTTTCTCAGCTGCTTCTTCAAGAAAGCAAACTTAAAGGCCCCTAGGAATACTATGAACTCAGCTATTATAATCGCTGAGAGTAACACTGTCCAGCAACCCGGCCGAAGCGCAACATTCTGACCTTTCAGGCTTGAAGGTGGCTTCACAGATTGCAGCTGCACATCCTCATGAGTTCCTGGCTTGGAGTTTGTTTTTGTGCCATTGCAAGCCTACAGTCAGCTCTCTTGAGGCTTGCCGGATGTATCTGAATTGAGTGAGTGCTCTTCCCAGTCATTCCTTGCTTCGCTGGCAGAACAATGACTTGCATACTATTTGCTGAGGGAGGAGCCCGCGGAGCAGCCTGACAGGCCAGCTTCTCATGCTCAGCGTCAATATTGGAATATGTTGTGATCCAGACCCAAGAAGCGCTTACGATCCGCCTCGGGGCAGTTCTCGCCTCAGCCTCTTTTGTCAGGGAGTCAGATTCGGACCTGGCAGTGCTACCTGTTCAGGTGCGAAAGATTGCGCAGTGTGACTTCTTTATCAGAGTTTGCGCCTGAGAATGCACGGGCTACGCACTTAGGGATGTCGTTCAGTCAGCGCTTTGAGGTCTGACGCAGTTGTTTCTGGAACCAAGTGGCCTCCTGAGATCACGGTGTGCAGTTATTTTTCTTTGTTGTTCTGTACTTGCAGGCCCCAGCCAATTGGCAAGCTACGCAGTGTGACATCACTCAGTGAGCCGGGGTCCGAGATGGCAGTCCGGCATGGGTTAGTTCAATTCCGTGGGGCTGGACCAGTGATGGTTTCATATAATATGTCAGCATGATTCCAGACACTAGCCAAGGGTCTTCAGTACCTTGGAAACCACATTCAGTAGACCCTGAGATTCCCATGGATCCTCGCAGTACCTTCAGGAAGTGGCTTACTAGGGAAGGAAGTCTGGGACACTACGTGAAACTCATACGAGGCAAAATTTTTAAAAGCAAGGTCAAGCATGCGTCGACTCAATGTGCAGGCCCAACCAACAGCACAATAGAATGAAGGAGCCTGGCGTCGGCAATTGAATTCATGTTGAGATTCCAAAGATCCCTGAGTCAGACCGTGCCTCTTTCAAGGTCTGCGGATTTTGGCTGCGTGAAGCCAAGAAGATTGAGCTTCGGGCCCCCGTCTCAGGTTGAGTTCAAGGCACTTTGAAGCAAAGCCTGATTCAAGATGTAAACCTTGGATTTAAACCTTTAAAATATTAATTCCAAACCTTGACTAGCCCTACGCCCTAAACCCGAACCTCCTGCTTTGAAACTTCTTTGCATTGACCGCTTTTCTGCCATGCCAATGCATGTCTGTCACTTGCAAGCGCTGGTGGGCAACTTCTGGTTGAAGCAGCAGTCCACATGTTTCGGATCTGTCCACCTTATGCTGCCAAATGCCAAGCAAGCTCTAGTCTAGCCTCCTGCTCTTGAAGATTTGTGTCCATATGGGTTGCAAGTTTGTCTGTTGCCTGCTTCCTGCGCCAGATTGACTGGGACAATTTGTGAGTTCTCATTCTGATTATGACGGAGTCCATGGTCAGTTTGATGGGCTTCCCGAAGGTTTTGAACATTGTTTTCCCAATGGACGTGCTGCGATATGTTTAACTCGACGAACTTATGCAGGGCACGCAGTCCCTATTGAATCAACGTGCTGCATTTGGGAAGGCGTCTGGTATAATGTACTGCGCGCTGCGGGCAAAGAAGCTTCCTGATACAATTAAAGAACGGTAGTGACATGCCCCCTCATCTCAGACTCCTACATGCACCTATGGATGCGAAATATCAGCAGAAAATGTGTTCATTCGAAGCCCCACCTTGCGCATGCGTTGCAAAATCGAAAAGCTGGTCTTCTCGTCTGGATTGAGGTCTGTGTCATCCAGGGCAACAGGCGATGCTGTGGATGAGCGCGCGCCATAGACTCCGTGGGCAGATTGTTGGAATTCTGTTGGGTATCCGGCCCAAGGCATGCTGGCAAGCCTGATGATGCAGAGGCGCATCGCAATTAATTGAGCAATAATTGTGAAGCAGGACAGATAGTCGAGCTTGGCAGTGGCAGGCTGAGTGGGTGTCCCCCGAAGTGAGCTTCCCGAGCTTCGGCCGAGTTCTTCCGGGTTGCATCAAGAATGACGGCATTTTCGTCAGCAGGCTTGAGCCAATATATGGGGTAGCTCCCAAGACTGCCCCGTTGAATATGAAGGTGGAGACTCAGCGGCAAAGTAGGAGCGATTTCGTGCTCAGGAAATTGCGTTTTCTTGGCAACGCGTCATGAAAGTGAGGTTCCTCCTACCCTCAGCAAGGGCCAAAAGGCAAAATTGCCAAAGGGCACGCGATTGCAGGAGAAGCCGTACATCTTCAAATCTTATGGAACCATTCGCATCTCAGCTGCAGCGCATGCTGTGCCCTAGATTCTTCAAAGCCTGAGGCCTAAGCCCTCAACCCTATGTAGCATTCCATTCAATTGTCAAGTGCCATTGCACCTCATACCTGTCTCACTGAGCTCTGCTTGCTCCAGGCTGTTTCCCGACCACGACGGCTGCAAACATGAAATATGTGAGTGTGAGAGCCAAGCAGGACTGGCGCCATGCTTTTCGGCTTCTGCAAAACTTTCTCACTGAGCTGTCTTTGGAGGACTTCGCGACTCAGGTGAGATTTTCGAAGGCCTACCTCGAGGCTTGTGCAAAGTGGAACCAGGAGCCGCGGAGATACGTTTGCCCTCATGTTGGGGAGTTCCTGGCGGGCTCCTGGGGCCTAATTTCATCTGTCTAGCGTACCACGTTTAACCCAAAGCATTCATCCAGTGTGCGCAGTCTTTAAGCCGTTGCTGCAAGGTTTCCCGTTGCGCTGGTCAGCGGCGAAGGCTGGCTTGGTGAAGGAGGCAAGCTTCAGGTCCCTCTTTCCCCACATCAACACCGCTGCAGACCAGGCAGGTCACAGTTCTTGAGCGTGGAGTGATACAAATTTGGATGCTTGGTGGAAGGGCACTCACCCATGCATCTCACTGTTTACTGGCATCTTGGGACTGGAGTTGGGCTTGTCAGAGCCGCTGCCTGAGATTCCAAGTGCTAGATGCATGAAATTTTGGGGTGGATGGGCGATGCGCGGCCGAGGTTCTGCCACAGCGTGCAGTATGAGTATGCCTCAGTTTCTTTAGGGAGTGACACCGCGAACCTTGAGAAGCACATTGACATGCGCTTGAGGTGGAGCAGTCCGCGTTCTGCCAAGGGGTCATCCGCAGCCGGATCAAGGACAAGATGGCTCACGATGCGCCCATTCACGGGGACATTGAGACGTTCCATGCGCATGGCATTCGTGCGTCTGGCATTATGGCTGGGTTCCCCTGTGGAGACACTAAGCGTCATCAGTCATCATTCGACAGTCAAGATGCAGCTGTCTCAATGACATGACGTTTGCTTTGCATCATCTCAGGGCTGCTCAAGGGCTGGCGTCCGAGCGGGTTTGGACCATCCGGAGACAGGTCTTGTCCATCACGTTTTCCGCGTGATCGACGAATCTGGAGCGCGGCTGGCCTGCACACTACTTTCCAGGGTTAACTTTCTCTATGATTTCTGCAAGGTGGTTTGGTTGGCTGGAGAACGTCGGTGGGCTGTTATCTGTCGACCTGCGACCCACTCTACACTATGTCCTTGAGGAGATCAGTTGTCAAGTGTCCCTGCCCTGTCTGGTTACGATTTGGATCTGCTCTGCGAGGAGCTGACCCGGCGTGATATGGTTGTGACTTGGGCCTCCGCCACCGGCAGCAACGTAGGCGTACCAGTTCATGCCTCAGGGGTCTTTGACAACAAACAGAACGCACTAATAGTCTGACCGTGCTGTCCCAGGTCTGGCGGAAACGTGTCTTTATCTTTGCAGCCAAGCGCGGTGCGGAGAAGGCCTTCTTCAAGGACTCTGGAACCAGTAGCGTAGCAGACCATGTGTAAGTGCTTGCGTGAGGGCTAGCTCTGAGGCATCCCAGTCTTCTGCAGGACATGGATTTGATGACGAAGTCATGTGTGCACGAGCAAGTGCTCAGACCCTGGAATCCTCGCAACACCATTCCTTTGAGAGACTGGTTGACAGAATATCATGACGCTGAAAGTCAGCAGCGGCTGAAAGCATTGGGCAACGTTGTGTTTCCCAAGGTTGCACAGTTAGCTGCACATTTGATCGCCTCAGAGGTCATGCGCCATTAGAGGAGAGTTCACTGACAAAGAGTGGCTGGAAGCTACCTCCTGCTTAATTCGAAGAAGATGTGTGCACCGCGAGATCGGTCATGCCGGCAAGTTTACTGCTGTATATTGCGCAGCCAGACTGAGAGCTCCCTGCCCATGTATGGAATCATGATGTATTGCAACTGCAGTCAGCTCGTCAAGGTTGGAGCAGATTTCACATCAAGAACACATGGCACGTATGATGCGGGTTGTGCTGGAGCTAAGCAAACTGATAATTATTGAACGTGTCTTTTCAAGGACTGCTGGGCTTTGATTGTCGTGTATTAATTCTACATAGGGAATAGTTTAATCACGTAAATGCCGTGGGTCCCCAGCGTGTGCCCATACATACATCTTTGAGCGAACTTTCCTTGTTTCACATAATTTGGCATCAAAAATACATTGCGCTTATTACGCGGGTTGTGCTGGTACTAAGCAAACTGACAATAATTATTGAATATTTGTTTTCAAGGACTTTTGGAGTTGATTCTACGCAGGGAACAGTTTAGTCATGTAAAAGCCATGGGTTCCCAGCGTGTGCCTATATACATCTTCGAGCGAACCTTCCTTGTTTACTTCTGCGTGGGGCTTTGGCTGGCCTGCCTTGGGCAGACCCCGATTCAGATGTCATCCTCTGTACTTGACGTGCTGGTGTTGTCAGAGGATGAAGGTTTGGCCCAGCCGCACGTTGCACCCTCGCCTTCCCGCCCTTTCCAGCAACTTGCTGATGTTGCAGAGCTGAGCGAAGGGGAGAATGAGAAGCAGGCCATCATCTCTGCCAGGAAACGAAAACGGGGCGAGGCGAATATTATTTCCTATGCAGATGCTCGTGCCTGCGCGCGCAGAGTCCTTGATAGGCCTTGCAGATGCACACGCAGGCGTTCTGACAAGCGCAGTTGTTTTCGGGCTTTGCGGCCACATATGGAGGAACTTGTGCAGCTACACTTGCGATTGCGGAAATTGCAGAAGTCTGATAGCAACCGGGAGGTCGCTTGGCATCAGGGTGGAGGTCATAGAAATCATTTTGCAGCACGCATTCTGGTGTCAGTGCTCGCCACATGCTGCTGTCACTTAGGTCATGAAACTCATGAAGCAGAGCACGACGGAGAATGAGAAGCGGGGTGGCAGTGGACGTCCAATCTACCACTTGGTAGGAAAGCCAATCTGCGCGCGAGGCTTTCAGAAGTTGCTGGGATTGGGAAGCGGACGTTTTGATGGACTTAAGAAAGCATTGAAAAACGGCTGGGAGGCTCCATGGGATGGACGCTTCGTGCAACGCACCCGCTTGAACCTGATTTCCAAGAAGCATGCCAGCAAGCGTGCCTCAGTGGTCGAATTCTTGGAGGAACTCTTGCAAACCGTTTCAGAGCCAATGCCTGAAGCATGGAAGAAGCAGGTGGATGTGCCGAAGGAGATGCGGCTGCGCAAGCCCAAGGGCCGTAAACCCATGAGGTTGGTTGCACAAAGGGCTTCACAGGGCAAGGACACATCAGGCATGAGACTACTTCCTCCTGGAACGTTTTCAGAGTATCTGCATCTCCTGAATTCCAGGCTAACTTTTGAGGAACGAGTGACTTTGAAAACATTCAACAGTGTACCTAGTCATGAATCAATATTCTGGTTGTTTTTTATTTGTGTTTATTGAACGCCGTCGCTGTTGAGCAATCCCAATCCAGAAGTTGGTGGGCAGGTTTGGGCAGAATCGTTTTCGACGCGTTTGGCCCTGCGACCCAAGACACAGCACTCCACATGCTCGCTGCGCACGCGGCATAAATGGATAATCAGACGGGTCTCCTCTGACAGGCGTGCGCAGCAGGCACAACTCAAGGCGTATGGAGATCACCTGAAACTACAGTACAGTGACCGCTGCATTTATTGGTCTAATCGCTCCCTCTCCCGCCTGAAAAACCTGCTCCCGGCAGGGTACTACACGGTATGCATTATCATGGATGGTGTTGATCACAGTAAGTTCCGGTATCCGCGCAGCCGGTGTCTATCTGCCAAAGAATTTGCCACTCTGGCACGACCAGCTCTTGATGTACACGGCATCATTGCCCACGGGTATGGAGTTTTCCTGGCATTATCTGAACCCATGACGCCGAAGGACTCGAGCTGGTGCGCAGAGTTGTTGTTCCACACCCTGCATAGGCTATCCTGCGCGGGCGTGGATTTGCGGGGCTTTGAAATCAATTGTCAAGCCGACAATACAAGTCGGGAATGCAAGAATTCCACGTTAATGCGTACAGCGGCCGTACTTTGCGCGGGACACAAGATCAAGCGTTTTCAATGGCAATTTTTGATGACAGGTCATAGTCACGAGGACATTGACCAATTCTTTTCCATCTTATGTTCTTGGATAGAATCACACAGTGAAGTTCACACGCCGGACCAATTCTTGAATCTTCTCAACATCCTGCTTCAAGATCCCGGGACACGACCCAACGAGACCGAGAAGGAAGCCTTCATTGTACACAGGGTACGCGACTGGATCCCTGGCTGAACTGAGTGCCGAGTAGGTTGTTGCTAGGCATCCCAAACCATCCTTTAAAATACTGACCTTCCCCAGACAAGAAGTTCGGGAGGTTTAAGCTCAGCAGGAAGGGATGAGGAAATTCTAGCCTCCAGGGCTTGGTGTGGGTTTGGGTTGACAATCTTACACTGCGTCCAGGTCAAATGACTTGTCGTGCGTGATTTAATTTGTGATGGAGCGCTTGCTGGCTTCGAGGAAATCCTACCTTCAGAACGGCTGCCACTACAATCATCTCCGGGGCATTGCAGGGCCAGGAGCACCGCACACATTTGCTTTCGATAGAATAGCCGACCTGGGTTCTTGCCTGAGATTTTGAGTTTGCAGTGACTGCTGTGTGACCCGTTCAGATTGAACACTACATCCCCAAACGGCTCGCGCTCAGGCTTGGACCATGAAGATGTGGATTGCCGTTTCTGGCGAAGAGTTGGCATCTATCCTCCTCACCCAAGTGATGTGGTCCTGAGGATCCATGAATGGAGCTAATAAAATATGTTGAGATTCATGCTCACCTCGAAGTATTTCTGCATTCATCGCATCTTCTGGCAGGACCAAGCAGTTTATGTCAGACGGCAGCTTTGGGCCTCCGATGCTTTATCTCCCGTACTATGCCTACTGTGCGATGGCCGACTCAAGTGCAATGCCGGAGGGCCAGAAGCTTAGTGCTGCAAGTCTGTGCGCGTGTTCTAAGCCTGAGTCCGAGCCGCTGTATCTGTGACTCAGTTTTTGTTGCTGACCGCGAACGAGATGAGCAGTCTTGCAAGAACTGGAGCAGGCTCGCAGATCTGCTACGTTTTTTGGCTGCATGCCACTGCGTCCTGTCATGTAGTTTAGTTTCTGACAGCTCGAAAGCAAAGCCAAGCATCTTAGGTGAGACCCCTTTCCTCATGTCGGATGCAGCCGACCATTTGCAGAAGCTCAGTGAGGGCAGCCTGGAGAGGACAGGCCCTCTTGACATCTCCAGAGCCATGCTCGGTCCCGGCCGAATGGCGAAGCAGGGCGCCCTGCGGTGGAGCATGTGCATATCAACCCAGCTAGTTGTCTGTGCTTAGTCATTGTTTCATTACTTTCGACAGGTGCGAGTACGGACTGAGTACTGTTCTTAAGTTGATGTGCATTCAACTCTCTATCTCAGGCGCCGAATCTTGTCCGGCTCCAGCGTGAAATTCCTGCCCGTGGACATCTTGGCCGGTACCGAGCGCAGCGTGCCGACCACCATATCAACGTTGCTGCAGCCAGACTCTGGAATGAAGGCGTGCCATTGGACAAGGCACTTAATATTGCGCGGGATGCATTTTCACGGACTGTCGAGGAAGGTCGACGTCCTGCTGCAGAGGTTTAAGATTTGACCTGGGAAGTATGTCAGGCATTTGTGACAGCATGCTGACTGGTCTTGGCGCGAGTCTGGCACGGGGCTGAATAGGAATATAGTAAATTGAAGTGGAATGCACTTGCAAGCAGCGTTTATTCTCATATGCTCCGTGCATGGAACCTGGACGGAGCCCTGATCCATCATCGCACCGTAGCATGTTTGTGCGTGCGAACGCTGTTTGATGGAGTCTGCCTGCACTCCATGCACGCGAGATGTTCTCTCCATGAACGTACATAGGGGTGAGGGGAGATTTTTCTGGGGCCCTATAGAGAACTATTAGGATAGGAATACGTGTCGCCAAACTCGTTGTGGCTGTTCGCCTTGTTTCGAGCGAGAAGTATATTATCATTGGCTCTGTCGTCAGCCAGGATTGTCATGAACTTTTTTTATCGTCAGCAAGGATTGTTATGATTGGCCAGGGATTTATTGTTCCGTGTGAGAATGGTAAGATCGTGCTAGACTAGCGGCTTTAGGAAAGAGTTCTGCGGCGACAAGAAAATTAGTTCATGCCTAAATCGGTCCAGCATGCAATCTTGTCAACATCATTCGAGACAGTGAACGAACAGCTCGGGCAAGGCAATGAATTATTGTTATGTTGCGCAAGGGCATGCAGTCGAAGCACAGCCTCTATGACAGTATCGCCTGTCAGCAATTCAAGTACAGGGCCCTTTGAAGTTGACTTCTCGTTTTTCGGTGTCCTCAAATTATTCTCATTTGGTGAAGAGAAGACCTCAGACTCAGAGTCTCTATGTGGGTAGCAGATGATAAGTTTAAAAATCTTCCGACAGCCGGGGTTCCACTAACATGTTTTTCGTGACGCTAGCTAATCCCGATATGGAAATAGACTCAGTCCCTGTGAGAAAATCCCGAACGCAAGAGAACGCCTCCCAACGTCAGCACACTGGCTTGCAGCTGTGTCTCGCCGAGAAAAAGTGTGAGCCGTGCAGAGAGCGGTGTCTTGTCATCAGGCATTTGGTTAGGGTTCCCAGACTTGAGCAGCGTTATGGAACCATCCTGGGAAAGCGTTTCCGAGGCTTCAAAATGGTTTCCGATGGTGTTTTTCTCACAAAATGACCTTCTGTAGAAGGCAGCAACGGTTGTGACGATTCATGGCCCCGTTCATCGGAAAAACCAATGTTTTGAAAGATTTTTCAAAAAATAAAAATTTAATAAACATATTTTTTGAAAAATCATTCATAACATTGGTTTTTCCGATGAATGAGGCCATCATTCATCAGGAATGGAGTTCTTCAGCCGGACAGTGTATTCTGTGACATTTTGGAGGGTTGTCAGGCAGCTCCCTGTGGCCCCAGTGGCAATCTAGGGATATAATCGATCAAAAAATTTGGGTGCGGCATGGACATTTAGAAGGCTTGTTCGTGGGTTCACGTAGACTTCCAGCATGGAGGCAATCTATTCCAGAAATTCAGTTTGTGACGGATGAGGGCCCCATCTGTCACAAAATCAGGGTTGATTGGTGTGATCTGTCACAAAATAGGTTGGGGTATGGTGCGATCTGTCACAAAATCAGGGTTGGTGTGGTGTGATCTGTCACAAAACAGCTCGGGGTATGGTGCGATCTGTCACAAAATCAGGGTTGGTATGGTATGATCTGTCACAAAATAGGTTGGGG